AGGGAGCTCAGAGTACATTCTTCTCAAAACGCCCTGGCATACACAGGGCTGCTGGCAAATCTACACACACTGGAGAAATATCTGCAGTGACCTTTGTTTGATGGGTCAAGATGAGCTCAGTAGTGAATAGCAAGAATTATGAAATGCATGGCAGTAGTTAGATTACTTTTCCATTGGAATTAATAAAGTAGTTTGAATTTCAATGAAAGATATCATAAAATACCATTGTGACTGTGACAAAGTGGGTCAGTTGTCCCTTCACCACTTGTCCCTTATTCTTATTTCTGATTAATTTACTTTCTTTAGTTGGTCATAATGATAAACTTAAACATTACTTTGCAACTTTGCTTCACCTATTATCCCGGGTTTGTTTGTGTTAACATTATGTTGCAGTTTCCACTTATTTAGCTCTTTAGGTTAAAATTATTACTTCAAGATTATTGGTTAAATTTGTTTATTTTGTTTCAAAATATATTCATGGTATTTGGTTTCCTTTTTACTCACCATTATTTATCCTTGTAGATTTACAGCAGGGCAGAAATATGGGAGGGGTCGGCCCAGTATTTCCTGCTTGATGACATCATTAATTATATTGCTGGATTCCATCAATTAGAGGGTTTTCTTTGAAGGATTGCTTTATTTTTTCTTTGAAGTAACTTTGAGTTATCTCTTATTACATGGTTTATTTTTCAGACTATTTCATTATGTAGATGAGTTTGTAAATTAGATTAATAATGTTGTTTTTCTGTTTAGATTTTGTTTTATTTCTTGTTTTTCTGTTTAATTGTGGCTTGGTCCACTTAGCTGCAGGTGTGTTGCCAAGTGGCCATAAAAACACTGAGTTTTAGAGGCTCAGGACGAATGTCTGAGGTAAAGGTGTCAATAAAAGTCATCTGAAGAACCTGACGACAGTGACTGATGCTGGTTGTTTGTTCATCTTGAAGACCCTAGACCACACTATTTTACAAATGGTGGTGGCGGTGGTTCCAGGCCATTAGGTGACAACAATGAAGAAATCAACCAGGTCAAGGAAGCTTCAGGGGCTGGCGGAGTGTTCCATAGAAGAGCCCCAAGATGATGAAGTCCTACCAGAAGCTTCTGGTGAGCAATGCCCTGATGCACAAAATTCTTCTGAACTCTCAGCTTTATTGAAAGGCCTGATGCAGTAGCATGCTGACCAGGAAACAAAATGGGAGCAGGACGCCAGGATGAACGGTGGAGAGAAATGCAACACCAGTTCAGTCAACTTCAGCAGGAGGTCCAAATGGAACGCCGAGAGCATCATATGCAGGTGGAGGGTACAGTAGCTGATCATGAAATACTTCCTGGTCCTGCAGTCTGACCAAAGGTGCCACAAGCAGTGCAGCAGAGAGGAAGCCTTCTCAGCACATTTGACGAACCACAACTATCCCGTCTGAGACCAACCAGTTGGAAAGGTCCAAAGATATGGTCCTATGGTGAGGATGAAGATATTGAACATTTTTTTAACAACGTTTGAAAGAATTGCAACCGGATGTCAGTGGCCAAGAACAGAATGGGCCCGGCATCTGGCACCACTTCTCAGCGGTAAAGCAAGAGCTGCTTATGTAGCTATGGACACTGATGACACAATGGACTACAACAAGGTAAAAACTGCTGTGTTGGAAAAGTTTGAAATAAGTACTGAAACTTACAGATTAAGGTTCCGGGCCACAATGGTGAAGGACAACGAGACACCCAAGGAGCTGGGGACACACCTTAAAGACCTGTATGAAAAGTGGATGATTCCAAAGGACAAGACAAGAGAGCAAATAGGAGATGTCGTGGTGCTGGAGCAGTTTCTGAGAGTTCTCAGCCTGGATCTTCGAACCTGAGTGAAAGAGCGCAACCCCACCACTTCAAAAGAAGCTGCAGAGATGGCAGAGGCTTTCCTTGAAGCCCGTCGCCCACAAGAAGGGTATATGACTTTAAAACCTAGTTCAGCTCCTTTTATGGTGGGTAAGTCAGGGGGAGGGAATGGACACAGATCTAAAAATCCCACAGAAAGTTCCCCAGTCAGTACCAATAACTGTGTTAAGGAATTTAAACAGAGAGGTCCTTTGGTTTGTCACTCTTGTGGTCAAACTGGTCATTTATATATGCTTTTCACCAGAGTGTTTTGACTTGTTGGAGGAAGAAGCTGGGTCTGTAGTACCTTCTAGTGCTCAGGAGCAAACGATCTGTGTTTTTATTGAGGCCTTATGTCGCCCTATTAGATTCAGGAAGTAGCCACACCCTCGTTAGGCAAGATTGTCTCCCTAAAGACACCACAGTTTGTGGCAAAGTTAAAGTCTGGTGTGTTCATGGTGATGATGTTGATTACCCCATTGCCAATGTTGTCCTTCAAGTTCATGAACAGGAACATTTACTTACAGTAGGAGTGATGGATAAACTTGTATTCAGTTTATCTATCACTTGGGGACCTGTTAGCAAAAAGTGAGAAAGATCTAGATACTGCTAGCCATCAGTAGGTCTAGCTCTAAAAAGTCTCAGTCAGAGCCAGGTTTGAGTGAGTTACCTTTTACTAACACTGAAGTTCCTGGTGAGGAAAGTTTAAGAAAGCACTGCACAAGAAAAAGCAGAATGCAGAAGAGACAAGACAAAGTAAAGGGGACAAAACTTCCTGGGACGAGACGGAAATGGGTGAGAGGTGAAAACTTGAATCTATTTGAAAGCTACTACTGAAGTAACCCTAATCAGAGAGGTTACGGAATGGTCACTTCGACATCCCCAGTCAACACTAAGTGCTAACAACTAGTAGTTCAGTGTTCTAGCACTGTTTTGTCACAGCTTGAGATTGACGAGGCAAAAAGGAGGATGTCAGAACTGTGGGGACTTAAGAAACTGCCACCCCATTTCCACCCACCGCAAGAAACAATAGTGACAAGTATATATACAAGCCTATGCAGTCAGATTCCTAACTACAAGGCAGACAGGTTGGCTCCACTAAAAAGAGGGGTGAGAGTCTGCAAATTCTTCTGACCCTAAGGGTTAGGGTTAGGCATGAAACCTATGGCATGGACTCAGAGTGACCTTCCAGATTGGGTCAAAATCCATAGACTGGGAAGTGCCTGTAGGCCCTATTAGAGATCTGATGAAGGCCAAGGCAAAGTTTTCATTGAGAATGAACTGGTCTCCTCAAAAATTGTGCGAGATGATGGATCAGACTACTGTGTGGCTAGAGTACACACGGTAGAACCTGAATCATGCCAGCCAAATCTGGCGTTATTGGAAACATTGAACATTGCAAACAATGTAGCCTCTGGAAGTGTTGTTGTCACCATGAAGCCAAAGGTGCCAGCCAGAGTGTGCAATTTTTCAACCATGAGCGTGGCTCTACAGAGGAGTATGTCTTGGACTCCTAGTTAAAGTTTATCCTCTATCCCCATTTGCACCAAAACCAAATGCAATGCCTGCACCATCATTGGTGGTTGGGAGAGTAGCAACAATGTTTGTAATTCCTCAGCACCTCCAAAGTTTGGTGGCTACCATAAGTGAGACCCTCGGTAAGGAATAGCAACAGCGATTCATTCAGCTACTCCTCACATACCAATCCATCTTTGCTAAAAGTGACTCTGACCATGGCTACTTCTCTGCTGTTACACACAAAATTGACACTGGGTCTGCCAGACCTGTGCGTCAACCTGTAAGAAGAACCCCTCTTGGATTTCAAGGCGAGGAGGAAGCGCATCTTTAAAAAATGCTGGCGGAGGGCATAATCACACCCTCAGCATCTGAGCGGGCTTCTCCAGTGGTCCTAGTTCGAAAAAAGGATGGAGGAGTAAGATGGTGCATAGATTACCACTGTCTGAACAATCTAAAAATTAAGGATGCTTATTCATTACCCCAGATCAAACAATGTCTTGATGTTGTGGGTGGAGCCACAATGTTCTCTACTTTCAACCTTCAATCCGGTATTGGCAAATTGCAGTGGATAGAAAAGATCAAGAAAATCAAGAAAAGACTGCATTCATCACCAAATAGGGCCTTTATGAATACACTTAAATGCAGTTTGGACTATGCAACGCTCCAAGTACATTTCAGAGAGCAATGGAGTTCGTTCTCGGGGGACTTCAGTGAGAAACTCTTCTCATCTACCTAGACGATGTCATTGTCATCGAAATGGAGTAGACCAAAGTTTGGACTGGCTTGAGCAGTTTTTCCAAAGGTTCCAAAGCTATGGATTAAAACTAAAACCATCTAAATGTCATCTGCTGCAGGAAGAAGTTCTTTTCTTGGGTCACATTGTGAGGGGCAAAGGAATCAGTCCAAATCCAGCCCTCATAAAGAATGTTCAGCAGTGGAACTTGTTCCAGCAAAGTTTGTAGAAGGACAGGCACGTATCCTCGGAGATGAGGCTTTTGAAAACTGATGGACAGAAGTCTCCCTGGATACCAACTGGAAATAGGAGCTGAGGGGGGAGATTTCAACATCCGGTTTACATAGAAGTATCAGCTGATCCTCGAGCCCCAAAGGTTAAATAAATGCATCCTATATTGCATATAAAATACAATGTAAACAGCACTGTGAGAGATGCAATAAGTTTAGCACGTGTGTGAATAATCTAATCGTTTGACTGTTGATTGCAACCTGCCCACATTATTAGCAGAAATAGAAGACCCCAAAACCAAATTTCGCAAAGGACCCCCCTGCAGGCTTGGGCCCCCTGCAGGCTTGGGCCCCCTGCAGGCTTGGGCCCCCTGCAGGCTTGGGCCCCCTGCAGGCTTGGGCCCCCTGCAGGCTTGGGCCGGCCTGCCTCAGAGTTTGGGGTGTTTGCTTGGAAGAATGGAGTTTGTTCCTCAAGTTCAGTTCCGACTGAGTTTTTTGAAACCAATTTATGTCGCATTACGGCTCCCGCTGAAAAATGGTTCCCAATTGTTTATGAAAACAGTGATACGGAATGTGGGACAGTGGTAACATGACGAAATTCAGCCACAATGTAAGTGACAGCAACGAAGCGAGGGGCTGCAGTGAGAACTTACTTGAAGGTAAGGATGCACAAAGGTCGGTAGGACTTGTGGCTAGTGTTGTCCGCCATCCTTTTACCCCAGAAATCGTTCCTGAAGATGTTCCACAAACTGGATCCCGGTCGGACATCCGGATTGTTTACGATAGCCCACACATCATCGTGCACTAACTCCCCGTAGAGAGAGTTGCTGTAGCACAACGAGCACAGAGCGAACAGCACAACGTAGCAAGCCGCAGCCCACCCCACCTCCAACTGGAGAAGCAGCCGCCCCTGCCGGTGGCCTTTCTTCTCTCGCCCCGAAACAGTCATGTCGGGCCTGGTTTCCTCCGCGGCACCGCTTGGCTGAGGTGAAAGTCAAACACGTCAGAAAATACGAGCATACCGTCGGGGAGGCAGCGGCTGAGTTTGCGGAGGTCAGACAATGTGGATGCGTTGTGCTGCCTTCAGGTCCAGTCCAAAGTGTAGGCAATTTAGAATATTAGCGCCGACATGCGCCGCATACTCCTACTTGTAACTGTAAAACTTATTCCTTTCAATTTTTCCTGAATTACAGCAATTTCACTGATTGACCTCACTTTAATTAAAGTAAATTATTCGTGGTTTTTATTCCATGTATTTGTTCAATAACCCACTGATCCCAACATCCGCGTTTGTTTATTAATGTGGTTTCAGAGAAACGTAAAAATGTGTTGGAAGACAAAACTTTATTCTAAGTCGATGCTAATAAACAATAGCCTAAAGCAGAATAACGTTGACTTTGCTGTATAGCTATAAGGCCACTTACTTACACGTAGATGAGTTGGGGTGAGAGCTGGGTGGAAGCTGTGTATAAGGTAACGGTGTTAATTCTGCGAGCCAAATTCTGCGCACTTGAATGCAACATCTTCATTGAGCTCGAGACTGTCTTACGCATGCGCAAATATATGCTACCCCTGGCCTTGGGAACTGCAGCAGCTGTGAAGTCTGTGCACACAGAGGGCCAGGGCTGAGAACGAGCGCCACCAACTTCTCCACTCCACATCAGCAGCAGCACAGCAGAACAAATGATCAGCCGCTGTTTCTTCAGGCTGGAGGACGAAGCCTTCGAATGGACATGGGGATTTAGAATGTGTTTCACTTAGTGATAAAATAGCTAAAATAAATGGAAGTTTCAATATTCTAATTTACTCAATGAACTGCAAATGACTGAAGGAACAAATACATAGAGCCACATGCACCCCTATAAAGACAAGTTACATTTACTTTAAAATAATTAGCTTTAGATTTATCAGTGAAAAGTTTATTGTAGTCATGCAATTCACTAAGTGGAACACGTTATGAATAAAAAAAAACAGACTTATGTTTCTAGCTTTGTTATGTTTTTATAAAAACATTGAAAAATTTGAAAGAGTAGAGTCTTAAATATTTAAATCTAGAAATGTAACCCTTTTTATTAAGAGAAAAAAGTTATCCAAACCAACTTGACCCTTTGGAAGAATTTGACCCACTGAATCTATAGTTGTCCCAGCCATATTAGCAACAAGTGACAAAAGGTTTGCACTAACTGGGAATGAGTCTTTAAATACCACTGAGGATTTTTGTCCACTCTTCTTTATGCAAATTTCTTGATTCCATTAAACACGATAAACTGTCCAGGTTTTAAGAAAGAATTAAAATGAAAAGGAATTAAACCTAAATCAAACTATCCCCATGTTTCACTGTAAGTGCAATGCTCTCACAAAAGTATCCTTCCACTGGCTTCTCAGTGGCAGGAAGCGTTCTTAATACCTTAAGAACGTTTTTTAAGATTAAAGGACTAATGCCCAAAAACCTAGAAGAACTCATCCATGTGTTTATCTGTAATAGAATTGATTACTTCAACAATGTCTTCACAGATCTGCATACAGTCAGCTGATTTAGCTAGCGTTCTAACAAAAACAAAAATAAAGAATAGACTTTAAAATACTGTTGTTAGTATATAAATTAGCAACAAAATACAATGCCGTAAAAACCTTCCAGACCACTCAGGTCTTTTGGTTCTGGTCGACTCTGCATCCACAGAACCAAACAAGGATAAGCAGCATTCAGTTTTTTACACCCCGCAAATCTGAAACAAGCATATTAATAATAACTAGAAGTGATCAATGTATTTGATTTAGCTATTCTTCACAATATCACATTTTGACAAAATTGAATATTTATTGCTTGTTTCATAATTGGTCACTGTATTATACTTTTACTGTGTAAAGCACTTTGAACTGCCCTGCTGCTGAAATGTGAAGTCAAAAATATACTTCACGTCACTGAAGAACATAATATTCATAGCTGTGAGCACCTGCATGTTTACCCCAAGTCATGCAGTTCAAAGCCAAATATTTAATGGTTTAATATTAAAAACACTAAATTCTCTCATCTTAATGTCAAACAACCACCAACATGTATTAGTAGCACCTTCTAGTGACAGAAATAAATGAACCATTCTGAGCTACACAAAATAAAAGTTGAAAGTGTTGAAATATTCCAAGTGCGACATACTGCTCCTATGAAAGATCAATTTATTTTATTCCATCTTTCCCAGGACTGCAAAGACATTTTGAAACAGTTGTTCTTGCTTACTATTTGACCCGCACATTTTGTACATTTAGGACTGATGAATTCATTTTAATATTGAACAAAATATAGTTGCAGGAGTACAAACACAACCAAACCAAGTCAGCAGTGTTATGAGAATGTTTAGGGTTTTCTCAGATTAACCAAATTAATTGAAGAATATTACAAAAATAAAACAAAGAGAATAATTCCTCTTGAAATATTTCTGTCTCCAAACATTTAAAAATGAAGATCCCAGCTAAAGGTTTATGAACATTTGTCCTGGATATGGTACACACATTGTCCTGCTGGAAATGGCGTTTTGCTTCATGAGATGATGCGTGTTCAGGAACAGAGACAAAGACAAGCTCACAGTGTAAGACACATTGTGAGATGTCTTCATGCTGTAGAGTTTCTCAGACACAAGGACTGATCGTTCACCACAGACCAAAGGGACTACACATATAAAATATCTGCAGGGATTCTGCTGGTCACAAACAATTAAATTTATGAATGTCCTCACACACATATACAGTTAGAACAGCAATCTTGTGGTGCCAGGAAGATTACAGCAGTGCACCAGGTGCTTAACTCTCCCAAGTCCAGCCTCATCCAATCTGGTTTTGTTTGAATCCCGCTCACCTGATATGGGTTGATCTGTTCTTAAACAGCAGACTGAACAGAAATCAATGTTCAAGTCAGGTCAGCTTCTCTTTACTCTTCTGGGTTTTTTTATTTTGACCCAGTCCTTTGCTACAGCAGGACATCTATCTCCTCGGCGCTCTGAAAACACAAAAATTCATGGGAAGATCAAACTCAACAGAGTAGAAAAGAATGCTGCATTTTGATGCTAAGTAATTGAGAGTAAGGGTAGGATTAAATAAGTGTTCACTTCCTCATACTCCTTTTTAAATAGAAAAATAGCGGTAAACAAGTACCTTATTTTAGTCACAGTTTTTTTTGTAGTTTGTCCGTGGGTGCAACTTTTACTCCAGAGCAACTCGTGTGGAAATGAACGTATTATTTCATATCACATCTTAATTTCACACTAAACCGCAAGAGGGCGCTCTAGGCTAGTGTTATTCTACCTTCGAAGTTAGAAGAGTTGTTTACAAGCGACACCGAATATGATTTCATTCGATTTAGTGATTTGGAGAGAAACGGATGGTTTGGTAAACTTGTTAGCATGTTAATTATGCTTTTGTTATCTGAATAACTCTTAATATGTTATGGTAACATACCAGGCACGTTCTCAGTTCATTGTTTGTCATGTAATGATAGCATACTGTACAATTATTCAGCCTGTTGTTGCCTCTATTCTATTTTTATTGCCTTTCAGATGACATGTCTGTTCTTGGTGTTGGATTTTATCAAATGAATTTCCCTCAAAAATACTCCGGTGCAACTTATAGTCCGGAAAATACAATAGTTTAGTTCTTGATTATGTGTGCACATGTTTAAACTGTCCCACTAATTGCTTTTTTCTTGTTTTGAAAAACCTGTTTGGAATACATAAATGAAATCAAAGCCCAGGAGAGACTTTTAGAAACCAAAGAGCCTGATAGTGGCAGACAAATTGAAGTCACTGAACATCGACAGAGTAAGTTTTTTAACAGGATGTCTGAAGCTTTGTTCTTCTCTGAATCCACCTCTGCTTTGGCTATCTCACCAGTGGCCCTTGGCGGCGGTGCTCCTTCTCTGCTGTGAGATGCTGTAGATCTCCTGGAGCTGTTTTTTCTGATCGTCACTGAGTGGAGCCATCAAACACTGGTACCAGGCAGCATTGCTGTTCTGAATTCCTGAAACATGCACCCCCAAACCCACACAGACACACACTCCTGTTGTATTACTGCCTGTGAGGATGGTGGTATTCAGAAACCTTAGGAATTACTGAGAGATTTGTGAAAAAACAGGTTTAGAATCACTGGTTTACTTAGATATTTATCCAAAGAGCAGATAAATATCTACAATATCTGTACCTGAATAACCCACAGGCAGTTACTCCTGCCTGTGGGTTATTCAGGTAAAGCAGTTGGCTAAATAACACATGATATATTCATAACTGTTTGAATAAATATCCAGTTATGTCAATGTAATTTAATATAATATAGAATTACATGTGATTGAACAGTACACTACAAAGGTATGGATTAAGAAACCTATAAAGTAAGACTCAAGCCCTTTGCATTTTGACAGCAGGAACCTTCTCTGGGATCCACACTATATTTCAAAAGCTGTGTTAGGGATTGCTTATGTTTCATCTTGAACTTATAGTTGTTTATCACTGCACATGTACAATGAAATTAAGGTCAACTCCAAAAATAGTAAAAACTATGCAAGAGATATGTATAATATAAATATAAATAAGGGGACTGGATTAGGTATTTATTTATAAAAATACGGAGACAATCCGTTTTCATTTATTAGGAACTGCAGAACAGTGGAAAAAAGATGGTATTTTACAAAAAAAGGAAGTGTAGCCCTTTGCTTGCGTCTTATTCAGACACAAACGTGACTTACTTATGAATCATAACTTACTTAGCAGGGCGGTGGTGAAGACCTGGTACTCATCCTCTCCGTTGTCATAGTCCAGAGGCGTGCTGTATTCCTCAAGGGCTGTCCCCTCAAAAGCATCTTCATCCCAGTAGTCATCCTCATCATCATTATCGTCGTTGTCACCTCCCTGGCCTGCTGCCATGCTGGACTGATGATGTATGGTATTTTGGCTTTCATTCACCTCATCTTCATCACTGGGGATCTCTTCTGCTCACAGACAAAATGAATCTGTACTGTAGTCATCATCATAGATCCCCAAGTGAAACGTGCACTTAAATTAAAAAGTTTTAAGAAAATGGCGCTT